GCTGACAGACACACAGTATCTCTCCCACCCTGACAGACACACAGTATCTCTCCCTCCCTGACAGACACACAGTATCTCTCCCTCCCTAACATACACACAGTATCCATCCCTCCCTGACAGACACAGTATCCATGACTTGCTGACACACACAGTATCCATCCCTCCCTGACAGACACACAGTATCCATCCATTCCTGACAGACACAAAGTATCTCTCCCTCCCTGACAGACACAAAGTATCTCTCCCTCCCTAACATACACAGTATCCATCCCTCGCTGACAGACACACAGTATCTATCTATTTCTCCCTGACAGACATACACACACACACACACACAGTATCTATCCATCCCACCCTGACAGACACACAGTATCTATCTATTTCTCCCTGACAGACATACACACACACACACAGTATTGCACCATTCCTGACAGACACACAGAATCCTACCCTAACAGACATACAGTATCCATCTCTCCCTGACAGAAACAGTTTCTTTCCCTCGCTAGCAGACATAAAGTGTATACTAGCATTGCATCGTCTCTATTATGAAATGTTAATTGAACAGACATTTACTGAATCCTCAGAAGAAAACTGTTTAAAGGGAACTGTCACTTCTCTAGAATTTCACCACTGAGTAAAACATTGAAATGTGTTTATAATTTGTGGCAAAGCCAAAGCAAACATTGGATATGAGAGAGGAGAAATGGAAACATTGGGAGTTAGGTTTAAAAATTGTTACATTTGCTTTCACGTTTTGTGCACATGCACCAATTTCCATCTATAAAATGGTTATTCTATCTTTATACCTGTGTGAGTTTCTTTTACATGTTATATAATTCATCAAAATATTGTCTTTCCGGCACATTTTATGCCCCTTTCGCATTTGTTCCATGTTCTCCCTGATTATTCTCCTATTGATTACATTCACAAAATAAGACAAATGAGCGATATTTCTAGGAAATAACATGCTTATTGCATTCTTAATTTGAAGTATTTATTATATTATTCCTAAAACACAAAGGAAGCTCCTTACTTGTTTCAAGTAACCACTCCAACAGTTGTAGAAAAAAATGTCTAAAAAAGGTTCATATTCATATACATGTCTGTACATCAATAAGGCCACTAATTATATTTGATTAAAATGACAAAATAGAAGTGAAGGACATAACTGTCAGGAAAGGGACAAACAGGAAAAATGTTGCACAGATGGAGGAAAAGATTGGCACAAAGTGAAAATGAGACAAATGTTTGGCGTTAAGACCGTTGCACCACATTATATAAATTACTCCAATTGTTTCATTTCTCCCCTTCCCTGTCTGCTCTCTCTATGCTCACAGCCAGGAGCGAAGGACAGATTTTATAACAATGATTGACAGGGAGCTAAGATGGAGGCACCTAGGTGCAAGATAAGAAGTGTGGATTTCTACAATTTATTTTCATTTTCACCTCAAAAATACATACTTAAATATAAGGATGAGCAAACATATTATATATAAAAAAAATGAGTAATTGACAGTTTCACTTTAACATATTGCAGGGCCGGCCCAAAACATTGTCCTTCCTGGGTCCAAGGATGAAATGCTGCTCCCCCGCACCAAAAGCACGGCAACTTCCATTATGTTATGAAGTCTGTGTATTGAATGCAGTGTGTGTAGTGAATGCATTGTGTGTGGTGGACGCAGTGTATGTGTGTCATTGATGATGTCTGTCTTTGTGCCGTGAATGAAGTGTGTATTGCATGCAGTGTGTGTGTTGACATTGTCTGTGTGTGTGGAAGTGGATGCAGGGTGTATAGTGCATGCAGTGTTTGTGTGGTGGATGGAGTGTCTAGTGGATGCAGTGTCTTTGTAGAGGATGTAGTGTCTATGTAGTATCAATATTTTGTGTGGCCACCATTATTTCCCAGCACTACCTTAACCCTCATGGGCATGGAGTTCACCAGAGCTTTACAGGTTGCCAATGGAGTCCTCTTCCACTCCTTCATGACGACATCATGGAGCTGGTGCATGTTAGAGACCTTGCGCTCCCCCACCTTCCATTTGAGGATGCCCCACAGATGCTCAATAGGGTTTAGGTCTGGAGACATGCTTGGCCAGTCCATCACCTTTACCTTCAGCTTCTTTAGCAAGGCAGTGGTCGTCTTGGAGGTGTGTTTGTCATCGTTATCATGTTGGAAAACTACCCTGCGGCCCAGTCTCCGAAGGGAGGGCATCATGCTCTGCTTCAGTGTGTCACAGTACATGTTGGCATTCATGGTTCCCTCAAAGAACTGTAGGTCTCCAGTGCCGGCAGCACTCATGCAGGCCCAGACCATGACACTCCCACCACCACGCGTGACTGTAGGCAAGACACACTTGTCTTTGTACTCCTCACCTGGTTGCCACCACACACGCTTGACACCTCTGAACCAAATAAATTTATCTTGGTCTCACCGGACCACAGGACATGGTTCCAGTGATCCATGTCCTTAGTCAGCTTGTCTTCAGCAAACTGTTTGCGGGCTTTTTTGTACATAATCTTTAGAAGAAGCTTCCATCTGGGATGACAGCCATGCAGATCAATTTGATGCAGTGCACGGCGTATGGTCTGAGCACTGACAGCCTAACCCCCCCCCACCCCTTTAACCTCTGCAGCAATGCTGGCAGCACTCATATGTCTATTTCCCAAAGACAACCTCTGGATATGACGCTGAGCACTTGCACTCAACTTCTTTGGTCGACCATGGCGCGGCTTGTACTGAGTGGAACCTGTCCTGTGAAACCACTGTATGGTCTTGCCCACCGTGCTGTAGCTCAGTTTCAGGGTCTTGGCAATCTTCTTATAGCCTAGGCCATCTTTATGTAGAGCAACAATTCTTGTATTTCAGATCCTCAGAGAGTTCTTTGCCATGAGGTGCCATGTTGAACTTCCAGTGACCAGTATGAGAGAGTGTGAGAGTGATAACACCATATTTAACACACCTGCTCCCCATTCATACCTGAGACCTTGTAACACGAACGAGTCACATGACACCGGGGAGGGAAAATGGCTCATTGGGCACAATTTGGACATTTCCACTTAGGTGTGTACTCACTTCTGTTGCCAACGGTTTAGACATTAATGGCTGTGTGTTGAGTTATTTTGAGGGGACATCCAATTTACAGGCTGTACACTTACTCCTTTACATTGTAGCAGAGTGTAATTTCTTCAGTGTTGTCACATGAAAATATATAATAAAATATTTACAAAAATGTGAGGGGTGTACTCACTTTTGTGAGATACTATACATTTTCAATTTTATGCTCATGGTCTACATGATCACGTCTTATGATTATGTACTCACATTTTGCACTTTATATGGTCTATTTGTCCATATTTTGTACTTTAGGCACATGGTTGCAGCTTGCATTCTGCGTGTAAGATGGTTGTGACTAGTTGAATTGTGAGCTAATTCTCTCTTGATAAAGGTATGTTGTTGAGATTAAGTACTTTATTTGCACCAGTTTGTGTTAATCGTACGGTAGCTTGGTACACTTTACTTGCAAGGTATAGTAGTTTCTATGGGATTTTTATTTAGACTGGGGGCTACAGGCTATATTTTTGAATTTGTATAAGAATGGTGGCACTATTGTTTAATGTCTATATGTATTCTTAGTTTGTGAAAAAATAAATTTAATTAAAGAAGAAGGGATTGTATTTCTTAGTTACTAGATATACTACGGCGTTAGGTAAGGACTGCTAGACTTTACACAATAGCGTACAATTTTTAAAATTTATAATATATATATATGGTACATACATATATATTTATATAATGTAATCACTACTGTATTTCTGATCAAAGACCAACTGTGTTTCACTGTACAGTAATATTAAAGTGGAATCTGATAAAATACGAAACGGTGACAGTTGAAGAATTTTACTACATATTAAGAATCAAACCCTTCAGGAAGAATAGCCTACCCCTGGTCCTGTACTAATTATATAATTCAAATACAGCAATATGACGAACTCAATCTAAAGCAAATGCAACAGGATAAAAAATCAGAGGAGAGAAGGATGGGAAACCGAATAAACCTTCGGACGTACATTGAAAACAAAGCCACTGATTCCCATACAGAGTAGCTATTGGTCAGTAGAATTACGGACACATAGGATATAAAATATGGCATGTGTTAGTACACAAGACACCAGCAGGTGGCGGTACTGTTTTCAGTCATGAAAAACAAGACATTTACAATTTGGAAACAATTAGTAACACAGATTCCAATCAAATAGCCAGTCTTTAGTGTAATAAGACACTTATAACTACATAATATCACACCACGATTGGTATTTCCAACTGTAAACAGTTTTCAGTTAACAACTTTTGCCTGATTGTCTTCTACCACCATCTCGAACCAGTGATATCTGTTTGATTCGTTGGGTCAGTACGTAGTGGTCAGGGCGAGGACTGTTTCCTTTTCTGGGTGTCTCGGTCAATGTAAAGACAATTTTTAACCTGAGCCTTGAGGGTTTACAGTAGTTTAATTAAGGATGTTAGGCCTAAGACCCCAGCCTATAGTAGTACAAGAACAGGTTGTTCTTGACTGGATCAAGACACTAAATTGGGAATTATCAGGAATTTTAAGTTTTAGGCCATAATAGCCAAATTTGACAAATTCTCAAACTCTGGCTCAGCTGTATTGCTTTATAATTTGAAATTTTCCAATAAAGCCTGATGGATTCCTAGAATTCCCTATGTTCCTGGGGACGTATATAATGTTCATTGTTAATAAGTGGGCCATGGACACTCCAATACAGTAACAATACTTTACTTATAAGGAGAAGATTGGGCAGACGGCACTGATGTGAAAATAAGAACAAATCGAGTGAGAAAGAAGATTGGCATGATGGTAGAAGAGGCATCTGACAGAAGGAGGTTGATATTGTGGTAGAAAGGGATGGGTGTGGAAGTTAGAAAAAGGGGGTATGAAGAAAATACTGAAATAGAATGTTTAGAGAGTTAGAAGGGGAAATTAAATTGTGTCTTGTATGAATGGTAAAGACAGTTTGCATCGGAAAGGGAAGGTGTGCTAAAATGAAAAGAGGGTGGAATGTGCGCAAATAGAACAGGGGAACTTTTATAAGAAAGGGTATAATGGTATGAGAGAAAGAAAAAAAAGATATTACGCAGCAAGAAAAGAAGGAAAATAAACAGAAATGTTTGAACTTTCACAGAGTGAGCAGTGAAACAGAGAACGGATAACGTTAACTGTGATGTAACTGGTATAAAAACGTTTTGTTCTGTTACTTGATTTCTGAAGAAAATGTGACACTGGTTCAAAAATGCTCACCATCAATTTCCTAGTTAAACAAATGAACCACTTCACTACCTAAAATTGAGTGTATATATATATATATATATATATATATCTATATGTATGTTTTATTTTCATGTATTTTGCAGAATTTAGTTCATGGAGCCTCACTCACTCTTTTCTCTTTTTCATACTCTAGTTATGATTACCAGCCTGCAGAGGGACACATTTCACTGTCAGATGCTACAAGTTACCCATATAATGTTGCTAAAGATATTATACATTTGCTAAAAATATAAGTTCACCCCCTGCTTTCAAACAGTACATGATATTTTAATGGGTCATATCATTCCTACAATCAGGAAGAGGGGAGGAATGAAGGAGTGATATACTCTACCATTTCACTATTAGCATTACCTTAATGCTAAAAGTGCAATGTTAAAATAACAATAAATAAACCAAGTGAATACAACACCTCAACAATCCTAGTTGGATACTTAGCAGTATAAAGTGACTGTAAAACCATATTTAGCCGGGACACAGATACCCAACAATTAGTAAATGTGATACCACAAATCCCATGATACCTTGCGCCTATTTACTAACCCTAAAGTTTGCTGACTTCACATGGAGACCTGTTTTTACAACATTTGATGGAAATTAATTTTAATAGTCCCATTCATTGGTTTCTTCAGAGTTTGGTTAATTCTCATGCAGGTGGGCAGTTCTAAGCTTTAAAGGAGAATGTATTTCAATCCTATTCTGTATAATAAATCTCACCTTTCCAACTCCCGTCTGAACAATCTTCATGCCCGTCTCGGATTCCAAATCTGACTGCAAGGCTTCTGAAAGCAAAAAGAGAGACATTTAGAGAAGAATGGTTTAAGCACTATGCTCTCAGAAAAGTTAAAATACTTCCTTGACAATGTTTATCCATTCAGTAATTTCTCCTGTGGGATTTTTGGTGATCTGTCAAAATGTCACCTCTGGGGACCATAAAAATAACATATCTGATATGTGCTATTTGTGAGTGTAGTCTCTTGTATGGGATCCTGGTGTCTTTTTCACATAAAAGGAGTATATTTGACATGCATTGTGTGTAAAGGAAGCATGTGGTCTCTGTAGTCACACATGGATGGAAACTGACAAACATTATTCTAGAACACATTGAATGTATCAAAATGGACAGTAGACTGTTTTTGCATATAAAAGGCATGGAGATCTATCAATCCTTCTGTATAATCTATTTATCCAGGTAATAACAAGGTCTCAGAGAAAGTTCTAGGTCAGTGAGTCACTAAAAACAAGTGGTTAACTAAATGTTCGACTGCTGAAAAAGCAGCCTCATCTAGATGACCTCTGATTGGTGTATGTTTGGCCAGTGATAGGCACCATACAACAGTCCCAGATGATCCAGCCACCAGAAACCCTGTCTCTGCAAAAAGAGACCCAGGATCTACACATAGAAACATAGAATGTGACGGCAGATAAGAACCATTCGGCCCATCTAGTCTGCCCAATTTTCTAAATTGAAAGGTTCATCAAACAGTGACCTAAGGTCCTAATCCAGGCATAGGCAACCTTTGGAACTTTCTAAATGTTGTGGACTACATCTCCCATAATGCTCTTATAGCCATAGGGCAGTCGTTGTCCACAACATCTGGAGTGCCGAAGGTTGCCTACTCCTGCCCTACATTCATAGATCCTGCATATTACTGACCAAGGTACTGGGCACGCAATCGAAAGATTCCACACATTCAGGATTATTTACAAATCTGGGAATCATTGAGAATTGATAAGGGAATTTACAATTTTTAAACCAAAACTGCTGGATGTTTCTATTTTCCAAAAATGAGAAATTCATGGGTGAATCCACCACAAATTACGGCTAAGTGACAAATCCCGACCTACAGGCACAAGGTTCTACGTCTGTGGCTATTAATTTAACTATCACTTGTCCTAAATCCCTGTTTTAATTTTTTTTTTTTAAAAGACCAGTAGTGACCCAGGTCTTGGACACATAGCATGTTCATACAGATGGACAGCGTATGAAAAGTGCCATCCAGTATAGTTCTTTGGCATTCCTCCTTGTTTACTGCAGAGATTTCCTTGCTGCATCCTATGCAATGTATATACAACAGGACAGCTCTTTTCATACAATGCCAATCAAAACAGAGGATTTGGTAACTCCATATATAAGCTGCCTGGCAAATATACTGCTAGGCTCCTGTCATAATGATAATTTTATTTATGTCTAATTCCGGTGTGTAAGGGTCACTTTTTGCAAAGCCCTAATGTTAAGTAATTAGCTACATACCTGCGCGATGTGTGACATCCGACAGCGATAGATTTTGGTGGTTCTGTTTAATTTGGAAGGTGAGGGCAGGTCCAACAACACTATGCAGGGGGAAAAAACCCAAGACTGACTTACAATTTTATATCCACGGAATAGAAAACAAACAGCAAACAAACGCCAAAAGTGATCTCATCTCCATTTAATCAGGGACATTAATATAATTCAGAATTGCAGGGCATATGTAAAAGCATTACTTTTCCAGCATATTCTAAACTTCAACTGAGAAGTTTGAAGAAATTGTTTTGACCATCAATATGTAAATATAAAAAACCTTAGGGGCTTATTCACTAAATATTCACTAAACATCAAATTGCAGTCAAATTAGCTAATTTGGATAAAAAATAAAATTTTGTCTAAAATATGATAGTTTCAATTTAGCAAATTTGGCATTTAGTAACTAAACACCTTGGTGTTTGCTCACTGAGTTTACGGCAATAAGTAGCCACCTTAATTGTATAGCAGACACCACTAGAGTTATTGCTTACAATAACATTCATTGCAAACAGGTGTATAAACTGGGACCGGACTGGATTGCAACATTTAGGCAAAAATAGCAATAGTTGGGGTATTTTAAACTGTGGATATCTGAAGACATTTTCAATCCACTTGTTCACCTTTCAGTATGGCCATGACATTAAAAACTATGGAAGCATGCAAAATATCATCAGTGGGTACTAAGATTTAAAGAACTGGACTCATATTTTTTCCAAAGCCTCATTTACAAATGGAAGAAATCGGGCCTCGTTCAGCACAACACAAGCTCTCCATATAATTAGAAAAAGGAATTCTATGCATATGATGTATAACATTGGATGCCGTGTGATATCTTTATTTCTTAAATCTGAAATGATCCATGGATGGTAAGTCAGGACTCAATAAGCGTTGAAGTAACATTTCAGATCAGACATTGAATTAATACAAAGAAAAGAAATTACCAGAATTTTCTTTTTCCAGAAGTGACTGTTAAACTTTTAATTTAACATAATTTAGTACCCCTGTTCTAACACATTAGCCATTTTTTTCTGTACATTCTAATTTCTATATTTTTCCTATAAATTAAAGCCAGCACAATTATGAAATGGTCATTAAACTAGCAGTCTGTAATATTGTATTTTCTCATCATCATGTACATTCAAAATATCAATTTTTTCCTTCATATTCTAAGCTTTCCATAGAAAACATTTGACTTAGTACAGTGGCCCCAACATTATACCCTGCACAAAACATAGGATCTGGATTCTGACCATTCTACTAATTTGAAACATGCGCGACCACCTATGCAAGGTGCCATTTTATAACATGGCCTAACTATGATAGCCTGTATTCTTCTTTAAACTTGCAAGGCCTTTTCTGTGGGAAAGATACACAGAGTGATGTCAAATTACAGACACTTCATTATAATCAAACGTTTATATGATTATTTTGACCAAAAAACTTTCAGTACAATGTAGTATTTTAACCTAAATGTTGACATTAATCCATAAAGGGTTAACATATCCATGTTGAGAATGGGTTTACGAACTTCAGGATTTCCACAGGGTGACTGATTTTTGGTAAACTGGCAACTGACTTGCAAAATAAGGACTAAAATATCTGCGTTTGAAAAGAAATCGCTGTACAGAGTATTACTGCCAATATTTTTCCAGTCTCCCTCAGAATATACATAATAATAAGATAAGCAAGTGGGTGATGAAGGTAATATGTACGAACATCTAAGCAATACGATAAGATGGTTTTTATTAATGTTTTTGGAATTTGCTTACGGCCTGACGGGTAACCTAAGAGGTTAATTTTAAAGAGAAGTGGTTTAGAAGCTAAAAATAATAGGATTTCAGACTTGAAAGTTTTACTTTAATAGTGACAGATCTGTCAGGCAGGTTATACAAAATAAAACACTTTAAACAGCGGTAATGACTTGTAGGGGGGTCCTAACTTATTTCATACCTACCCACATGGTAGCAATATCACAGTGTTGTCATGAAAACTGCCTTTGGTTTAGCACAATCTATCTGATTATTATAGCCTGATTATTATAGCTTCGCTATTTGTGTGAAATTCCTTAGGTAATGCTCCACACTTTTTGGTTTAATCAATGAACCTTACTTTAGATGGCAAGATTGAGAGGATACTTCCCAAAGATCGTTCATCCCAGCCAATATCCCAAATACCATGTCACCATGCATGCGCACATAGCTGCTCCCAGCCTAACTGGCAGTGCCCACACAGAAACTGGCAGGGTTACAAGGGCTTGTGACAAGACTGTCTATGAACTGTACCCTATCATTTTTGTGATTTAGTAAATATGTATTTGAACATGTGTTATTTAAAGTGACATTACCAACTAAAATGTGTTTTCTGTGTAAATGCTGACTATATCAATTTATACTTTGTTAACAAACTACAAAAAAAATGTTATATAGTCTACATAATCATGAGTTTATAACATTACATGAGATTTTGGGAAGCCAGGGACTCTTGTTTAGTGTTAAACTACTAGAAAATAGTTTAACACTGAATGGAGGGACAATGCTAGGAGACTCCAGACACTATAACCAATTCAATGAGATTAAGTAGTTCTAGTGCCTGTAATGTCCCTTTAAGTGTCCTCTAACTCTATAAACATTAGCAGAGGCATAAAAAAATCCTCCATCACGAACAGTTCTGTATAGGTGCCATGTAATGAAAAATATAGTATCATTCTCACATTATCGCAATGAAGCTCAGTGATCTGAATTCCTTATTTTATCAGGGCCATTTTGAATGGATACCAAAATTATCATCTTTTCTAGAACTAACCAATTATTAATTATTTTTTTCGCAAACTGTATAGATCGGAGCTGTATAGATGTCTAAGCTGGCACTGCAGATGTTGAACTACATTTCCAATGATTCTCTGATAGTAATGTTTCATGCCTTCTTTATGCCTTTTGGCAATTCCTGTTTCATCTGCCTTGAGGTCACTTTCTTTCTGAATGTCCCTTCTATTAACTGGAGGATACATTAAGCATGTAGACCAAACAAGAAACGGGGACTTTCCCTGATACAATGGAAATTTAATTAAATGTATCACAATCTCTTTATGTAAGCTATACCTCAAACACGGACCACTAGTACACAGTTCTACATCTGAGGTTTGGAACGCATGCTTAGTATTTAAGCACTGCTGTAAATATCGAGATAGAATTCTAGATACCTGGATCTGGTCCAATACAGTTCCAGATCTTAGATGTCTGCGTATAGTTTGCAATATCTGGATGTTTGTAGAAGAAGATATTTGTATCCAGTTCCAGATATTTTAAAACCATCTTCTATATAGACCCTGATCTAGATCTCTGGATACAATACTAGATTTCTGTACTATACTTTGGGTGTTGGTAATCCATCACAGATATCTGGATACATTTGTATATCTGGATTAAATTCTAGGTAGTTTGGTATGACCATATATATTTGTATGTAGTCCTAGATATGTGGAAATAGCCAGTTCTAGATATTTTAATCTAGTTCTATGTATAAAATCATCCTATACAGAGTTACGGATATTGGAACATCTTTATAAGTAATTTGGAAAACAAATATTTCTTGCAATTCTTGAGTAACATGGCACGTTGAAGAACAGCTGGAAATGTTAACATTTAGTTATTTAGAATAAAATGCTTGCTACGTGTTTTTTTTTTGTGTGTAGAGATTTTATCTGTTATTTTGGCCACTAGTTTGTGATGTGATTCTATGTTGGATTTCCATATATATCTACCTTGGGACGCTTGTGATCCTCACCTGATGTTGATGAAGTTGGTAGTGGACAGATGGACACGGTGTGCCAGGGTTTTCAGCAGACGAAACCCATTATTCGGGCTCAGGGGCCTAAAGAAAAAGGTAGAGGTGTGGAGGTCAGCCCAGGGTACTGGCCCTTCTCATGATACTAGTTAGTGGCTCTTACTCTTTCCTGTGTGTTGGCTGATGACTGACATTGGCACCCCAGATGGTTGTGAACTACATTTCCCATGATGCTCAGTACACCCGAGCACTGGATCATCATAACAAATAGTTTGCAAAGGTCAAAATTGTCTAGGTTCATAATCACTGCAATAAATGCTGTTATAGTCTGGAAGAATTTCTAATTCTCTTGAATATATAAAGAGGGAGTTCTTTATTGTTCTTTAAATAGTAAGCTTTAATACATTAGCACAATATACTAAGATTTAGCAGATTTAGCTTATAAATAGAGGAAAATTGGAGCTTACAATTATAGAATATGGAGCTTGTCTTTGTTGAATACATGGAACTCATTATGTAATGGAAAATTCTCATTAGAAGATAAATGGAACTTCACATAACATACATGAATCTCCTCGTTATAAAACCTCTGGAGTTCCTCATTTATAATATATCAGGAGTTCTTCAATATAATATACTTGGAGATCCTCATTATAATGTATCTGAGATAATCATTATAACATATCCAGAGATTCTAATTATAGAACTGGAGATCAATATTATAATATACCTGGAGAACCTCATTAAAAGATACCTTGAGATTATCAGTATAATATACCTAGAGATTCTTGCTATAAAATACCTGGAGATTAATCCTCATTATAATATACGTGGGGATCCTCATTATAATATACGTGGGGATCCTCAATATAACATACGTGGGGATCCTCAATATAACATCCGTGGGGATCCTCATTATAATATACATGGAGATTCTCAGTATAAAATACTTGGAGATCCTCATTATAATGTATCTGGGTATCCTCATTATAATATACACAGAGATCTCGATTATAATATACCTGGAGATTGATCCTCATTATAATTAACATGGGGATCCTTATTATAATATACCTGAAATCATTATTCTGAAATACATAGATATTCTCATTATTATAGACCTGGGATCCTCATTATAATATACATGGATATTTTCAGTCTAAAATACTTGGAGATCCTCATTACAATGTATCTGGGGATCCTCAATATAATATACATGGGGATCCTTATTATAATATACACAGAGCTCTCGACTATAATATACCTGGAGATGCTCACTACAAGATATCTGGAGATTCTTATTATAAAATATAATATAACTGTGAATCCTTATTATGCTATACCTGTAGATTATAATAATATACCTGGGAACACACTTGTAATATACCTGTAGATCCTTATTTGTCAAGATAGCTACTCTCTTACCCGGGCCCCTTGGCTTTCTCTGTAACGCTGCTCGCTCGCCTGCCTGCCGCGGATTTTTATGGGCGATCAAATTCCGCTCTGAATGGCGAATTTGCAGGACCGAATTTGGGTCCAACTGCCAAATTCGCCAGATTGAATATGTCTCATAATTATGACGTTCCACAACAGAAAAACACAAAAACGGTTTTCTATCACCCACAGATCATACAAAGTTAAGTACTACCATTATATAGAGTTAACTCTCCCACTCCATGTTGCCCTGTTGTGGTTCCAATAGCCCAAGACTGCATTCCTTGTATATCCTTTTTCTGGTATCTGATTTTTTCTGTTTATTAGTTTCTCTTGATCTCTGGGCTCCTTTGACCTTGGCTAGTTTATCCATATCTCTTCTGTCCTAGACTTCGGCATCCTCTCTGACACTGTCTTACGTTATTCCACCCACTGTAAGGACCTGTACGCAGAAAGTCTATTTGTTGTTACTTGGGTCTGTACATTTAGGTTTCCTCCACGTTCCAGATATTATTACAATATACCCGTTGATCATTATTATAATATACCTTGAGATCTTCGCTCAATATGTAGAAATTGACCCACATTATAATATATCTGACATCCATCAATCTAAGTTATTTTATGGCATTGTCTGCATTTTGTGTAGTGGAATTAAAAAAAGTGAGTAGACATTACAGTCAGAGTTGGGTGTGATACAAATTACTAATAGATTTAGACATCCCTTCTAGAAAGATGTAATGTCCCTCAAGACCCAAATGGATGGTGCAATAATGCTTTCCATAGATCTGCTATATAAGAAAAATTAGGGGATTCCTTGCGTGTACCATTCAAGGTTCGTGATGCTGAGTGCATAATGCTGAGTAATGAGAGGCTGTTTGAGTAAGAACAATGAATGCTTACTAATAGCCTTCATCACTCGTGGTTCACCCAGGAGTCTAGGTGTACTTCTCAGACAGGTCTCCACTACATACTGAGAACAGGGTATACAAAATATATTTGTGTAAACAAAATTAAACAACACACCAAATGCAACGGTCAGCTCTAAAGCAGATTGGTTTCTTAAAACCTGATCATAGTCGAACAGCAACTAAATTACTGCTACATTTCAGACAGCATTTGGCTTATTTATGTGTCTGGTACATTGGCAAACTCAAAGAATTGCAGCTACTGCGGATCTTGTTCATACTGTCTAGGAAGTAAATAAAGGCGTTATTGTCCCTTCAAAGATGATCGGTCCCTTAGGAAAACCTTATTGAATAGAGAACAGTCTATATATTCTTTTAACACTGGGGGTGTTCAACCTTAGACTTTATTTCCAAGAATATGCTCCCTATGAAAAGGACTACATTATCCAGAATTCTCAATCCTCTACAGACCAACTCAACAGCAGGGGGTTAAGTTTAAACACCCATATTTAATCATGATTAAAGCAACACTACATTAAAACAAAATAACAATTTAGAAGATATACTCTCAAAGAAAATATGCATGTAGTTTGTTTTGCTTTTTATCTTTGGAGATATTTGAAATCTTGGCTTGTAATAGCTGCAGATCTAGTATCTGCAGCTACTGCAAACCCTCCCCTTCTTCCCCAAGACAAACTTTCTGAGGCTGCCCAATCACAGACTGAATTACAGATCATTCAATTGTCGTTACAACGAAGGTGCTTTGGGCAACTTCCTGCCTCTGCAGGGCTGAACTACCAGAAAGTAAGAGGACCAGTCTTCTGATTGACAACTATTGACATTGTAAATTTTCCTAGCTTTAGTGAATAGATAATCTTAATTTTAATAATGATAGGGGGTGAATATTTGCTTTACTTTCATTACCGTAGCTCCATAGCCGCAAACCATATAAACATTAACCAATCAGAAACAAGGAAAAACAGGGTAAAGCAGATGTGAAGCCTTCTATCATGTTGTAAAATTGTTATTTCTGTGAAATGAAAGAGGACACACTTTTCATATTTAAAGCACTTCAACAAGCTTTATATGTTTGGAGTGTTCAATTAAAATAGAAATATGGGCTCTTCATGCAACTAATTTAAAGGGGCACTATAGGGTCAGAAACAAAAACATGTATGTAGTGTTAAAATCACCATGAAGCCCTCCTGGCCCCCTCTTGCCTCCGTAAATTTAGTAAAACCTTACTTGTATTCAAGTCTGAAGCTGGTGCCTCTGCCTGTGAACTTCCTCTGTCTGCTGACATCAGCAGAAGTGGTGGTCTGAGCCAATCACAATGCTTTCACATAGGATTGGCTGATACTGTCAAGAAGGCAGAGCCACTACAAGCCAAACACAGCCCTGGCCAATCAGCATCTCTTCATAGAGATGAATTGAATTAATGCATCTCTATCAGGAAAGTTCAGTGTCTGCATGCAGAGGGAGGAGACACTGAATGGCAGTACTGCACACTCTGCAGCACTGCCCAAGGAAGCACCTCTAGCAGCCCTCTGAGGAGTGGCCAGTGGAGTTATCACTAGACTGTAATTTAAACGCTGCATTATCTCTGAAAAGACAGTGTTTACAGCAAAAAGCCTGAAGGGAATGATGCTACTCACCAGAACAAATGCAATAAGCTGTAGTTGTTCTGGTGACTATAGTGTCCCTTTAAAGAAAACAGTTAAGAAGACTGTAACGGTTATTCAATAAAGTGAGAACTGCTGGGAATTCAACTGGAGCACAGCTGACTTGGCGCATTTTCCCAGTTGAGCTATTTTGGAGTTAAATTTGAAAGTCCCAATGAGGGTTATTTATTAAAGTGAGAATTGTCAGGAACTAAAAGTTTTTGAATTTCAAATTTAAGGGCAAAATAGCTGAATTGGATAAATTCACGAAACCAGCTATATTTCTAGTTCGGCTGTTGTCGTCTAAAATTAGAATTTCACTTTCAATTCACTGTTAATTCCCAGCAAATCGCACGTCAGTGGAAAGTAATCACGTATCTGCTCATATTCTTTTATATCAGCTGTTGCCAACCCAGTCCTTGAGTACACCGTACCAGTCCAAGATTTAGGGATTAACCTGTTGTGTTTTTTTCTTTCTTTCTAAAACCACCTTAGACACAACTGGGTGATCTGTTTTATATGAAATGGGAAATGTGCTTATATGAAGTGTCTAAAAAACAACAGGATGATTTAAAACAAAACTATCATAATATATGTAGTCCCAACAGCGATATGAGTATTCAAACATTAAATAAAAAATGTATGTATCTATCATTAGCATTATAAAAAGCAGATGTTCATGCTATTTAAGCAAGATCTGATCAAACTTTGGAAACAAGCGAATATTAACTAACTGACATTGCTCAGGAAGCCTAGTCTGAGGGTCGCCAAGGCTGCCAAAGGTTGGAATAGGTACACAGTTCTGAAGGTGCAGTGTCTCCATCACATACTATCTGCTTCTCAGGCGTAGTCTGTATTTATGATGTTAGTTAAAACTGTGTGCGCAGACAGTGATGGCATTCCACAAAGCAATTTAGTCCAGTCACCAGGAGAATAAAAACTCCAGATAACGGACAGGGTTATTTGGCTGGCTGTGTCTAGCCAATCACAATGCAAAGGCGGCCAAGCTGGAGATACTTAGGGAACACATAAAAAAGGAGCATGTCACACTAAAAAACACCCCCCCCCCAATATATATATATATATACAAAACAATCACTATTTAGTAGATATACCCCAATGAAAACTTGCATGCGTGTAGTTATGTTGCATTTTTCATTTGGGGTATATTTAAAACTGCTGGTAAAAACTACAGATCTTTTTTTCTGCAACCTTTGCAATTCCTCCTCTGACTTTCAGTTTGTGCCAAAGTAATGACCAATCAGAGACTTCTCATTGAGAAACCTCGGATTCTTAGCCATGAGCGCATGCACTTAGAAGGGGAAACTGGGGAGAGCTATGGGAGGACCAGGAGGGGGGACAGGAGCCACAGATACTATGAGCCCCCTGGGCATGCCCTCGCAGGCTCTCAGGTCTTGGGGGAAGCAGTAGCAGGTAATTTCTTAACTGACTTTGGGTCGAGTTTTGGATTCTCACAGAAATGGACACTTTTAAAACTTACAATTAGAATACTGGAGTGCTATATGTGTGTGGAGTGGTCTTTTAATTTGAGATATAGATTTATTTATTTTTCCTGCTTCTCCTCCCCCCCTTACCCCTATTTGTCTTTTCTCTTGGCCATTCTTCTGTGAACAAAATCAACATTTCGTGATGGTCTCCTCGCCATCAATCCCCCTTTTTCCACCCTATAAATCAGCCAATTTTTGGCCCCATAAATGGAATTACGAATCTTGAATCAAACCGAACATGCTCGCCCATTGTATGAATTGTTTGGTTCATGATTTGGGTAAATTTTGGATCAGAGTTCGGGAATTTGTATGATTAACAGATCAGCCCACATTCAGACAAATAGTAGTTTTTAATAAAACTAATCTCTAACACACACATGCAGTCCAACACACATACTGCAAGATTATTCTGAATAAAAGGTACAATGAACATTGAAATGTCAGCAGTCTAGAGAATAGGTTTTTTTCCTAGCTTGGATACTGAAACCTGGCCTTGAGGACTATCAGAATAACCTGTTTAACCTCTTGAGGACCAGAGGCCAGACCATAGTTAGGTCTATTCTGATGAAGAAAAAACTGTTGTTGCTCCAAAAAGAGTTAAAGCTGCACAGACTCAAGTATGGTACTGAATGTCCTCGGTCAGGTTGGCAAATTAATATAATATTGAAGAATTACATTCAGAAATGTTTACAGACACCTTTCTTCCTGAATCATGCATCTCATCTATTACACTACAATAATAAAGGGGCAGAGGAACAGCTTAATCAGACTGTGAGCTGCCAGAACTGGGGGGAAATGTTTTCTCTAGGATGTTAATGGTGGTATACAAGCTCGTTAAATAAACCAGTGAGTTGACAAGTTGAAAAATCTATGGATAAATATATAATTTTTCACTCCTATTTAGGCTGAAATTAAGCAATTTCTTTGATTGTGAATAAAACTGTTTTGTCTTTTTTTTTTTTTTAAATCATATGAGTATTTGTTTTGCCTCAAAACAAGTCAATTGTCCTCTTAACCTCCACTGCATTTACATCTATTTCTGGCTCTAGACATTGTTAACAACTACAGTTTAATATTTAAGGTGCTCACTTATGGTCAGTGGCGATGTATCCAACCTCTTCTTGAACCTGGCTGGAGCTTTGTCCAGGAACATCGCTGGACTCTTCGTATGCATGGTAATTTTTCTTCTCCATTGTCTTCTGTTCTCTTGTTTCGTTGATCGCCTCCAGGAGATTCTTATACTGCTCAGCCTTCTTCTGGACATCAATTTCTGGGTGAAGACTGACAATGGGAACTGTCGTGCTCACCACATTTCTGGTGTCCAAGTTCTGTTGTTCAGTGCCCAGAGCTATGGTGTCATTGGCAGCATCTGGACTTCTAGGAGCCAGCTCAGGGACAGGAAACTGAGACTCCGAATCAGCCATGTGTTGCATGTCTCCTTCAGCCACCTGTGAAACAAATATCATAACTACCTTACATTTAGAGTGACATGTGGTACCAAAGTGGGGAAAATGATTTACTTGTTACTTATAAAATTAACTATGCCACTGAGATTACATTACAATTAAACGGAACTCTGGGCACCATAACAACCTCATGAGAATTAAGTTAATATGGTGTGAGGAGGTCCCGGATGCCAGCTTACCTTCAGGGGATAAACCATTAACATATCAGTGGCGTCCGGCCCAAGGTTTCCTGATTAAACTGGAGCAGATGTGCAGGGGCAGAGCTGGTGAGTACCAAATTGAAGACTGTGGGGTTTAACCATTCTTTAACAATTTAACCCCTGAAGGCAAGTTGTTATACTGCCTGAAGCAGTCCTTTAAAAATTAGGCACTGTTTTCTGTGCTTCTACAGCGTAAGTAATGTACACCTCTTTTGAAAATGGCTAGAGCTTCCCCTTACTGCACTGATCTTATGGCATATGGCACTCTTTGGGGTTAATGTGCTAAACTCCAAATTGTAGTGAACTGATTGCCGAATTGCCAAATCGAGGCTACAATAGCCAAACTGTGACTATAATTGAGCTGAAAATTCTTTTTAAATTATCACTTTTTTAGTTTGATTTTCACTAAAATGCTGTATCTAATGAACAGACCTCACAATGTTTACAAAGTATATATTATTTAGGAAACCATATTTCAGAATCTATGCCATCATGTCACCTTACATATTTTTCTAGTATACAAATATATTAACAATCTTTATAAAATGCTTTTTTATTTTGGGAGATATTGTTGGAAGACAGAAATAATTAAATCATTGCAGATCACGCATGAGTAAAATACAATCCAACATATTTTCCAATTAAAATAATGGAGTGTTGAGTTTCTGTCCATGAGCGTGGAAATAGAGGGAGAGAGGAAAGAGAGACTAGAGAGAGGGAGGGTGAGAGTAGCTCCCTGTGTTATATTCATCTCTAGTGCATACATCATTTGTCTTACTCAAAGTGTTGGTATATTTTGTGGGGGGGAAAAACATACAATATTTAAACAAGCAAAAAAACTTATTTTTTAAGCATGCTATAATATACATTCAATGTGGTTTAGAAAAAGAAAATGCAACTATATATATATATTTTTTTTTAAAGTAACTCAAAGGCCTAGTTCTTGTCAATAATATTCATAAATTAATTGAAAAAAGTGAACTGAATTTTGATTGCAAGCAAAGAACAAGCAAAGATCTCAATGTACGTTAGACTGACCAGGACTGGGGATCAAAACACCTTTTAATAGAAAAAACAAACTTCAGTGGGACTTTGGCGTATTAGTTTTAAGGTCTCATATACAAAGCAAGGATTGAACAAGGATTGAACCTAAGGATTTAAGCCCATTCTAAGTGTGTACAGAAATATTTGCATTGTGCATCTGATTATAAACCTCAAACAGCCTTGAGTGCCGCAAACTTCCTAATTCAGGGGTAGGCAACCTTCGGAACTCCAGATGTTGTGGACTACATCTCACCGCATGCTCTTACATGCACAATGCTGGCAAAGCATCAGAGCATATGCAGTCCACAACATCTGGAGAGCCCATGGCTGCCTTCCCCTGCGTCTAGTTACTAAACTGTTCTCAAACACACTACATTAATCATAGCTGATATACAGCATATGCAGCAGCTTAATAATGGAGTGAATTCCCAACGCATTTCACTTGCATTCGGCTGTTCAAGAAATCCAGCAATGTACTCTACTTTGAACCTCAGAACCCTGAGTTGAGTTGTAAAGAGTAGTGAAAACTGGCATTTGGTCATTATCAACTTGTCAACTATGGATTCACTCCATCTTGTATGTAATATATAAAACTCAGCACGTAACAGAACTTGTTCAATTTACTGCAATCTATAAAATAAAGCTAAGTGAGGAATGCATTGTTTCCTTGTTTTTCTAGCAGATATTTTCTTTTTTCAAGATTGCTTTGATATTGACACATTAACTCTAGGAGCATTCAGATTTTCCAGTTTACAACACTCCTAGGGCTTATTCACTAAACATCTAATCGTAGAAAATTGAAATCTGAATTACAGAATGACTGAAAAGCCTACAAGGTTAAATCCTTTATTCTCCAGTACCATGCATCTTTCTCGATTGCAATGTTGTCTGCGCTTTGTGGAACACATCATCCCACTATAAACACAAGCAAGACGCACAGATCCCTGTTACAAGACGCTGGGCCAGTTCGACAAGTCAAGATTGTATATTTACAAGTGAAACTGAGGGCAGAAAGACTGAACATGCCCAAAATCGTGGGATACGATTCATTTAATGACTGACAGGCTATCTACCACTGGACTATGAAATATGTAAGTAATTGACATATATGTATTTAATTCATGTCTGTAAAACACGCATTCTGTACATGTTAGCAGATTGTAACATATATTATACTCACTCGTTTCAGGGGGATTCTTTCTGGATTTCTTCCTCCTGTAATGCATAAAGAGTTTGGTCTCATTAAACGCGTTAATGTTTCTTGAACTGTATGATGCACCACCGGATGCCAGGAAAGTAAGATTCATGCTGAGTTTCATTCATTTAACAGAGAATTGTGGGCAGTTGATAAACAAATTGCACAGTCTAGTCCAAAATAATCAAATAATCAAAGTGGAAAGATTCTGCAATTCATTTATTTTTTTTCAGCTGAATTATTATTATTTTTTTTACTTAAATTGGAAATGTCACTGTAAATGTCTGGTATTTATAGTTTATATCACAGCAGAAAACATTGCAAATCGTTTAGAACTTTAATCGCGTTAACTTTTTTTTTTTTTGTAAGACACCATTTTCCTTAAAATTTATATTAAAGATTTAGCATATTAAATCATAATCCAGATCAGACAAGTAAAACCAGTGCAAACATTATACAATATTAGCCCCTTAAGGACACATGACGAAAATATTCCATCATGATTCCCTTTTATTTCTGAAGTTGTGTCCTTAAGGGGTTAACAAGAGAAGAAACTGAAACATTGGGAAAGCAAAATATAGGATGCAAGGGAATACGAGATTGGACAACAGCTCCTGTAGCTTGCCCTTCGGTGGGTCTCCGTTCAGATCTCAGGCTGGTTTTAGCTCATCTTGCGCCATTAAAAAGAGAACCCAGCAATCTGCATTTCAGACTGATATTCAAAAGGACGGTACAGATCCGAAATGCAGGCTGTCTCTCTGCACGAGAGATACAAAAACCCCAGGCAATCGTTTTGGTCTTGTTAGACATCGTCAGTGAGGTATTGCCGATACCCGTCCAGGCACCGTGAGCAAGTGGGTCACGACTGGATTACTCTTCAAAACTTAGGGAGTGCAAGAAAAGCCTGTCCAGATCCAAAATGCAGGCTGGCTCTTTTTGCACGAGAGATACAACAAATAGAAATATTGTTTCATGTATCATCTTCTCTGTATGCTGACTGCCAGGTGCAAAGTAAAGCGTTTCTAACAATGATTGACGGGAAATGAAGTCAATCAGTTAAAGTGATATGTAAACACAATATTATTATCATGGGAGGTGACAGTTCTCTTGTCAATATCCACAATCCCTGGTTCAGTGAGAATAAACCCCAACATTACAAAATTAAATCATTGTTTATTAAACAGGAAGTGTGCTGAATTAAAAAAACTATTTGCAAAATTCAAATAAAATATTCAAGCTGTGACTATAGCTGTGCTGCACAATATTTCCAAATAATTTTGTTCTAAATATTGCAAATCAGATTTTAACTGACTACAAAGCACTGTTTAGTGAATAACCCCCTTAACCCCTTAAGGACACAACTTCTGAAATAAAAGGGAATCATGACGAAATATTTCCGTCATGTGTCCTTAAGGGGTTAAACTTGAATTTGTTTACCTCCAGCAGGCTGGGTTAAATTAAAGATCAGAGTAATTAGTTTTGCTTTGGCTGAATACACGACATTCTAATTAATTTGGCTGAATATACAACATTCTAATTAAAAATTGAGTTACAATGTCAATGACTAATGTAAAATTCAATGTGCACGCCTTCTTAATGAAAGTACATGTTACATTATGTATAGATGCTGTGCATGGTTTATACAGTCTCACCCTGGTTCTGCTGCGAATCCAACTGAAGAAGCTGAAGAAGAGTTGATAGTTGTTCCAGCTGCGTTTCACTTAACTGTCTCACATCAAAACCATTTTTCTCTAAACTCCCCAAGTCACCTGGACCTTGTATGTCTGTCTGAGCATCTGCTATACTTGGCATTCCAAGTGAACCTGTATGTAAAAACAAGAACAAGCCTATCTTTATCTGTAGATACTTTCCATGATGAAAAGTGAGAAGGTGAATTGTCTATGGTAGTGGATGAAGAGTTATATTGGGAAGGTTACTGTGCATGCATTTCATCACATGTGTAACCTTAAAAAAAATTCCACGAACCCTAACCAATACAGCACACTGTAGTGATTATGGTGCCAGGATTGCCCTAGTATTCACCCCCCTTCACTCCCCTTCTATTGTAAGAATTCAAACTGTTTTAGAACTGTCTGACATCATACCTAGGGTCTACAGATCATTACTTCCGTTCTCTACTACAAACAGCGGAGAATTGGAAGCTGAGTCTGAGCTAAGCACTGCAGTGAAGGATTTAGCGCTGAAGAACTAAGGGAAGTTCCTGGCTTTCCATTGTTAGGAGTGGAGGTGGGATGTGGCACTCAGCAGAAGTGTACTGTTACTACTTATAATGGGGGTGCAAAGGCACACCTGGTACCATAATTATTACGCTCAGCTCTAGTGGTTATGGTGCTTGAAGTGCTCCTTTAAGGGGACATTAAAACTCCCACACACGTTCAATGCAATATGTAGATTAGGTTACAGTTAGATATACTGCTGTATAGGATGGCATGACAGGTTTCTGGTAGTTGTTATTCAAATGTTCAAAGCTGACAATTGCACTGCAGCTCCCAGAAACCTTTGCTGTGTTTAAAAAGCACCTCTTTTGGGACCAAATGCTGCCCATTCCTCTTCTAGGGAAAGCACTGTTAATGAAATTCAGTAAGCACAGATCTCTGACAGACATATGGTTCCGCTACTATTTGAGGGAAAAATCAGACATGATTACAGAAATATAACCTGATACTAATAATCAATGAAATGATGAGGTTAAATGAGTGATGTAACCTCTCAACGCCCGGAGTGCCTCAGCTCGACCATCTCCTTGTAGCTCCTTATCAAAATCTGTTATCTGGGGAATCCCATCCATTCCTTCAGAGTTGTCCAGAACATCCTCTGGTATTTCACTTCCCACGCTTTTACGAGGGAGTTTCCTCAGCAGTTCAGGCCAAGAATGGTGTCTTTCGCTGGACAAATGAACAGTCAGTGGTCCTTCTTGCCCTCCTTGGTACCTTCCGTAAACGAGTCTTCTTGAGCCCTCTGGTCTAGTGTAAGTTGCACTGAAGGCACGTGATGGGCTCCTAAGTCGACTTGTGTCCTGGTAACCAAACTGCAAGAAAGGAGTTCTGGAATCAGCTGGAACTCCTCATCAAGAAGAACATATATTCATCTACTACCACTTACATACAACACCTTGCTCTAAATAAAAGGCAACTACACGTTTATTTAGCTTCTGAAAAAGGCTCACAGCACTAAAGTTGCAAAGTAAATAATGGATCTCTTAATGAAATGCTCTCTGTAACACCAGGTGCAGCTAAGAGTCTGAAAGTTGTTACGTTTAAAAGAAAACATGTTTTAAATGTAAAAAAGCATTGTGATAGATAAATGCAGACTAGATATAATGAAATCAGGGCGATTTTACAATTTGTGTACTCAGTATCTGTACAATGCTAAATAAAATGTTGCTGTTGATTCAGATAATGCGTAATATATTTATGACCTTCCAGTAAAACGCCTATTTCATTTTATTATGTGATTACAGATATAAAATGTTCATAAAGTAAAGTACACAATCTGTTAACAGAATGCCTAGAATAATGTTTATTTAAGGGGTATATTCACATTTAGTATAATAGTTATGTCAAAAAACCAACATAGCAGGTGACCGCCTAGGGCTCTGATTTTAGACAGAGGCCGGGAAACCATGAATTTACTTGGCCTTATTAGTCATTCCTATGTCAAGAATGAAGAGGGTCCTAAACTGGCAATCTGTGTAGGATCAAGAGGGATCATAATTTTTCTCTGGTGGCAAATACTTTCCACAAGCACTGCTTGCTCTAGTTGTGTGCTATGTACCTCCGTAGTCAAATAATCATTACATTGTTTACTGTATTGTTTACTTTGAACACCAGAAAACCGTTTTTTGGGTCCTGTGCAGTGCACTGCTCTCATTTCTGGAATCTACAGCAGACGGAATGCTACGGAAATTTAATTAATGGTGGGTCTTACCTGGGACTTGGGCGTCTGAGAGTTCAGCATGAAATATGTCAGATATCTCTCCACCAAGGGAGAAATATTTTGCTTCATGTTGAGAGGCAATCGCTGCTGTTTCTGTAGTGCAGATTCCAATGGTTGTGATGGCAACCGAGGTCTGAAATACTGCAGTTTATCGACGGAATCACCCCATCTCTGCGTTGAAGGTTGGCCAGCTCCTGTAAGACGCTGAACTGTCCTTCCAGGTGTATGAGACAGAGAGGTCCTATGGCAAAATCAAAATGAGACAAATTGGAACATTATAAAGAAGCGCTATGGCTAATTTGGGTATTTCTATTCTGTACAGTGTAGTATGGATATAAGGAAACATGTTTTGGTTAAGTTTAATTATTTTAGTGCCAAACTACTTTTCACCATTCACTATAATCACATGACGCGTTTTTGCTAAGTTTTTAATAGATATTTATATAGCTTGATCTTATTTTATTTTACATTTGTCAAATACAGGCAATCAGAGGACTCAATAAAGAATACAATTCTATTAAAAGGTCCTAATTAAACTTATACAGGATTATTTAATAAGGTGTGACTTTTCAGGAATATAAAATAAATTCCAGGTAATTGCACATTATAGGTAATGGTAACAAAATTAGAAATATAGGGATTTAAATTTATATACAAAATTATATAAAGAAACCGTTGGGCTTTGCTAGCTAATAATAGCTAGCCATAGAGCTGCTTAAGGCTGGCTGGAACCGAGTTCAGAACAGGAGCTGATGCAAGGCTAGCAATAATTGTTCTAGACTCTCGTTCTCCCAGATGGAGAAACTAACATGTTATACACGCATGCGTGCATTCAAAGCAAATTCAAATTTAAGGCCAAAAAAATCAAACTGGAAAATAAAAATCTACGGTAGCTATGCTTCCAGCTCAGCTACGTTGGCCGTAAATGTGAAATTAATTTTAAATTCTACCTTTAGTAAATAACCCTACATGTGTGTCTTTATTTTGTAACCTATTGCATTAGAACACACTCTGTTCCAACTGGGTATTATTCACAGTGATTCAAGCTCACCTTCTTTATGGCATTTTATAGGCTGACATATTGGGTATATACCTGTGTTTGGAGCAGGAGCACACTGACATCATGGGCAATGTAGATTATATAGAAAGATACAAAAGGGGTAAGGGCTGCGCCCGAGGCTAATATCAGTAATCTATAATACCAAACAACCAGATCAAATGGTCTAAATGGAAATATAACAAATAGGCCTATATAAAATAGAACAGTAAGGAGTGAAAAAGTCCCAAGTGTACAATAAAATTGGTAATTCTCAGGAATATAAAATGGTAAATAAAAGTCACATAAAAAGTCTCTCTATATACCAGGATAGGGGGGGAGTTGGCAATCCTCAGGAGTTGATCCGTCCAGATGGTTAAAATATCGGTATATGTGGAGAGAAAGTGAAAATGACAAAATAGCCAATGGTGTAATATAGTCAGGATCCAGTAAAAAATTATTAAAATGAAGGTAATACACTCACATTTAGAAGAGCTCTAGCCAGCTCTGGGGTAAAGGGCGTGTAGCGGTATGAACCCCGCTAACGGATATAGTGGAGAGGTATGTCCGTCAATCCAGTCTGGTTAGGCAGTGCTCCAGGGTATATATAAGAAAACAGCGATAGTGCTCTCAGTATATAATGGAATAAAAATAAAATATATAAAATGTACTTACAAGTATAGAGCAGAAGATACTGCTCTATTAACTCAGTGCTGGTGGAATAATCCCCACCTCGGATTTCTTTAGTACAGGATACAGGATAAAATAGAAAGATGCCAGGAAATAAAAAAGTGCAAATAAAATACAATAAAAAGAGAATTGGTATAAAAATGTAATGACCAAAAAACTTTTATTGCTTAAAATACACAATTTAAAACCATTAACGCGTTTCACCATAAAAAGGCTTTTTTATGGTATACCATTTGATAAAGCCTTTTTTATGGTGAAACGCGTTAATGGTTTTAAATTGTGTATTTTAAGCAATCTTTTTCCTGGCATCTTTCTATTTTATCCTGTATCCTGTACTAAAGAAATCCGAGGTGGGGATTATTCCACCAGCGCTCAGTTAATAGAGCAGTATCTTCTGCTCTATACTTGTAAGCACATTTTATATATTTTATTTTTATTCCATTATATACTGAGAGCATTATTGCTGCTTTCTTATATATACCCTGGAGCACTGCCTAACCAGACTGGATTGACGGACGTACCTCTCCACTATATCCGTTAGCGGGGATCATACCGATACACGTCCTTTACCCCAGAGCTGACTAGAGCTCTTCTAAATGTGAGTGTATTACCTTCATTTTAATAATTTTTTACTGGATCCTGACGAAATTACACCATCGGCTATTTTGTCGTTTTCCCTTTCTCTCCACATACAGCGATATGTTAACCATCCGGACGGATCAACTCCTGAGAATTGCCAACTCCCCCCCCTATCCTGGTATACAGAGAGACTTTTTATGTGACTTTTATTTACCATTTTATATTCCTGAGAATTACCAATTTTATTGTACACTTGGGACTTTTTCACTCCTTACTGTTCTATTTTATATAGGCCTATTTGTTGTATCTCCATTTAGACCATTTGGTCTGGTTGTTTGGTATTATAGATTACTGATATTAGCCTCGGGCGCAGCCCTTACCCCTTTTGTATCTTTCTATCTTGTGCTAAAGGGTCTTGAGGGATTCCCTTTTTTTGGGTTGCTGCCCTTTAGTCTGTTATCTAGCGCTGACTCTTCCCCCCTGTTCTTAATGTAGATTAAATGCCCATAAAATTCCCAAACCATGAATAGGTATCACATTCCCCTGACAAATGCAATTAGCTTGGAACCTTAATGATACCAGTTCAGAGAAAACGCACAGTGTCCAAAAAGAGGAGTATAGTACAGTTACATCTGTGAAGAGGGCATAGCTTATACTAAAAGGCCGTTTATGGAAAATCTGGGACTTTAAGATGACATGAGATTCACATGGATGCTGTGTCCCATGCCCAATAACCAAACCTCACTTCTTTGTGTCATACAATATATATTATTTATGCTCAGCGACTAATCTCCATCTCTGCTTGTATTACCCCAAATCACTGAAAACATAGCATTTCGTTGTTGTTATGTGTATTAGCTGTGGTTTGCTATAAAACATTTTATGCAGGTTTCACAATCTCATGTTCGGTGTCATTACAGTAAATGCATACCTCTAGCAGAATGCTAATAGTCCTTTATTCTTTGACTAAAATGTGTCGACTATCTATAGCTATTGCTGAACAGCTCAATAAAATCTAGAATTTAGTTTGTGAAACAGCATAGTACTGATCGGTAGACAGGAAGTGGATGATCTTATGGTTTTGTCAGTGGTTGAAGTTAGAATATCAGCCATGTCTTCTCAGTTCTATTCCTTGGCAAAAAAAATTAAAATAAAATATGTACCTCTCCTCATCCAGAACATCGAGGGGCTCCAGGGTCCTGTGCTGTGGGATCCTCCCGATTTCATGAGCCATGACTCTCTGTGTCATATCATCCCTCCATGACAGCCCTGTAGCCACAGGGAGAGAAAGGTACATTTAGATTTTCAATAAATGTCTTTGTTTTTTTTTCCCTTGGGCTAACCATGCTTTAACCCCTTCTTCTGTCCTGAGTTTGAATTTACTAATCATGTCAGCCCAGACCACATTCCAGGGGAAGCCTGAAGAAAGATATCCATAAAGATCTCACAGAAACTCTGGGACACCTCATCCCTGACAAAATGGAGAAAATTGCGTTTTTTTTTTTGATTAATTAATTTAAAATGTGTTTTTATTATGTCCACTTAACTGTCTACAACACCAGCTAAGTCCTGCTGGACTTATCTCAGAGAAAGCGCTCTATAAGTACAACAATGGTTTATAGGAATTGGAGTTCAAATGTCAGCATTTCACTGAATACAGCTAACAGCTGAACTACAACGTCCAGAAACTCAAGTTACGGCCTCACGCACTGTAATATTTTTGGAGTTAATTGGGAGACACTGCAGGTTGTGAGGGAGGGGCAGAAAGGTTGGGCATAAGGAGAAATAAATAATTATTATTATAAAATAAAAAAAGTAAAAAAATTAATTAAAAAAAACCCAGCATGACTAACTGTAACCTAGTTTACATATTGCACCTAACGTGTGGGTACTTGGAGTGTCCCTTCTAGTTGTTCCGTGCTTTGACACTGGGGACCCTCTCTTAAGGTTGCACTTCTATATTTTGTATTTCAGCTTCCATTTCCTTATTCTCCTCATATCATAATGATTATAGGCACCCTTGCATCTTGCCTTCATTTATCGTTATTATCCATACCTCCTTGTGCAACATTGCCGGATCTCAATATCCAGGTACCTCCATTCTGTGCTCCTCTGTCCATGACGTCTTTGGTTTGCCTGCTGTGTTTTCACAGATGGACTATTGGTATATTAGCTTGGCAATGGATTCTTGTTTAAGCTCCACCCACTGCCAAAGATCCCACTTCCCATAACAAATCTTAGTTCTTATTTTATCTTATGTACAAATAGAAAGCTAAGGTAAAAAATGAAGGTAAATAAAGAGACAAAGAAATAACAACTGCCAAGTGACAGTATTAATTGGAGAATGTCTAAATTAGTTTAGATAACAATAGGAATTGTGTTAAATGAGGAAGCACATCATTAACGGAAGAACATGTCACCGATAGAGATCTATGAATCTTGAGCACTGACAAGGACTCATGATTTATTGATTGTCTGAATATCTCTACAAAAGAACGAACATAACGTAGATATTTGCTAAAATTGAAAGAGATTGAATGTGTCTGTGTCTTCACGCTCCACTGAGATCATTTTAGCTGCATTTCAACAGATTTCTGAATTGAAAAATGTACTTGCTGGAGTGTGGTGAAGAAATGAGCTGAGTTACATGGAGGAAGCATTAGGATTTACTGATTTTGCTATGGTCTGCCTGTCAAAATAAAATATTTCAAATTCGGTAATCTACTGAACCTACTTACTCTATAGAACAGTCAATTAAACCCACTGACTCCGGGGTATGAGTATTTTCTGACTTGCAGTTAATGTGCCCAGGGGTAAGAAATGATCTGTGTTTGGCCCAAGAATGGAAGCAGAACGGAGTGGCATGCAATGCCGAATCGATTCAGATAACTGTACGGTTATTATTGGTCTCTTAACATACCTTTTGCTGTAAGTTGGCGCAGAACACCCTGCAACTGCTGGAGGGTTCCTGGTGTCACCTGGAACTGACCAACATCCCTTTCTGATCGCTCCCGGCACTGACCAAACAAACCATCTGTAAGACAAAATGTGCAAGAATTAATGAAAAGTTAAACTTACTGATTCATCAGCCTCAGGTAGTGTTTTAACTTAGTGTGGATTAGCAGGGTTCTGGGGAGATTATCAGGGTCTCAACATCAATGGGCAGATTCTCGGGTTCTCAGGGTGAATGGGCAGATTCTCAGACTGAATGAGCAGATTCTGGGGTTCTCAGTGTGAATGGGCAGATTCTCAGTTTCTAGGAATGAATGGGCAGATTATTGAGTTGTCAGGGTGAATGGGCAGATTCTCAGAGTTAATGGGCAGATTCTCTGTTTCTAGGAATGAATGGGCAGATCATTGAGTTGTCAGGGTGAATGGGCAGATTCTCAGTTTCACAGGTTGAATGGGCAGATTCTCAGTTTCTCAGAGTGAATTAGCAGATTCTCTGTTTCACAGGGTGAATGAGCAAATTTTCGGTTTCAGAGGGTGAATGGGCAGATTCTCGGTTTCACAGGGTGAATAGGAAGATTCTCGGGTTCTCAGTGTGACTGGTTCAGGTTCTCAGGCGGAATGGGCAGTTTCTCCTGTTCTCAGGGTGAATGGGAAGACTCTTAGGGGTAAACTGGAAGAGTCTCATTTCTAATGAAAGGGAAGATATTTATGGTTTATGGGTGAATGTAAAGACCCTCAGGGTTGCAGGTAAATTGTACTCTTGGGGGTATTTCCGCAGTGACCAGTTAGTATGTCAGGCAGCACCATGCGGCTCCATTGACACTAAATCAATGTGGAGAATAGCTTGTGCCCTCTGGCTGATCATCACATTATATGGTGTCATACCGTTGAGTCTTTAGATTGTGTGATCCGGAGTACCTCGGGTCACATCCTAAAGTCCCAAGACTGTGCTAAAATCATCACAGTGTTTAATTTTGGAATATTGACTAGCGGGGATTTAAAATATTTGCAGAGCAGCTTACCCTGCAAACAGGTCTCACTCTTGGAACACAGCCTCAGGTCGAATAGACAACCTACAGGAAAAACAGCAAAATAACAGGTAAACACGAACCGAGATGGGAACCCAGGCCTTCATATATTATGGGATCTGTCACATGGGAACAGAAAGTGCATTAAATGAGAAAGAAGGAAACAAATGAAAATGATTATTCAAAATACAGGAGCCTCAAAAGGGAGAGAAGCGATTGTCTGAGCGTGAGACATGAATCATTCAAGTTCTCTGTCACTCACAGACTCCTATTCCTGCTCTGCCACAAAGACTCATTATCCAGCTGTGACATCAGCCGCCTTCACAGTGCGCACAGCGATGCCATCCCTGAGTGTTTGCCCCAACCTCCATTAACTGTTCCATCTCCACATGTTTCTTCCATAGAATACAGCAGTTCAAAAATGTCTTGCTACAAGATTAAACATCCGTAACATGAAAATGTCTATTTGGGGTGTTCTGCTATGTACCCCCGACACCCATAACGATTTCTTGACTCTGCTAAAATTCCAATAAAATGTTTTGGGGAAAAAAACCTTAAACATCTGTATTTTTTCGTAGACAACACAAGCCTAGAAATGATATCCATAATGAGGATTAAGCCTTAATCATTAAATAAGGATTATGTAATTCCTGGATCACAAGATACTTTCTCTGCCACCGAATTACAACTCTCATCACTCTCAGCCAGTTATAAACAAGGTATATGTCTATGGCATAGGTGTCTGTAATCCAGAAGTAAGATGGTCTCATAACCAGCATTACAGTTTTAAAACAAGGTGGCTTATACACAGAGCTTTAACTTGTGTCTGTCTGTCATCTGCCCATCAATCCGTCCATCCGTCTTATTTCGAGTGCTTTACAAATGAAACAAATCATTATTTGGCTACCGGCAGGAGAATATATAATTACACGGACGGTTCATTCATTAGACACTCAATAATAGCAAATCAAAAACCAAAATGGAAACCCAATAAAATGCATTCTAAAATAAGCTGTGGTTATAGCTGAGTTAGTTAATTTTTCTGAATCAGCTCTTTTGCCTATTTCAGCTGATTGAACCCTTGGGGACTTTGATCTCTTGCACGGTGTTCAGCATGGGGTGAACTAAGGTTCCAGATAAGTCAACGCACCTAGAACATACCCACGCTATCACAAGTAGAGCTTTAATAGACAATGGGAAGCCCAAGATAATCCCCAACATTAATATGTGGTGATGGGTAACCGTGGCTATGAAAAATTAGCAAATTGCATTTCCCATGATGCCCTCTCAGGCCTGCTGTGTACCATGGGAAATGCATTTCACAAAGATGTTTGTGCATTTGTTTACATTTTCACACATTTGCAGTTTACAAACAGCAGCCTTAAGGCTTGCTGAGCATTGTGGGAAATGTAGTCCATAAGCATTTGCAGGATCAAGGATGGTCTCCATAATGCTAATGGCTAGGAAAGATAGGTAGCATTGATTCAAAAAATGTAAGGTACAGATGTTAAAATAAGAAATTAAAATCCTACTCTACAAATAATTCCACTCCATGATTGTGAGAAACGATGGGTTTATTTTTAATTATGTACTTTTAGATATCAGAATACTATATTACACTGAAAACGTAAAACGTGAATAGCACATCTTCTCTAATACGCTAGATTGAGCAGACATGAAGCCCTGCAACATGGGGATCTGATACATGGGTTTTATATAAAAATCTTTGCTGCCGTTAAAATACCCCGGAGATTTTGTAGAGCTCCAATTACAGAGCATCTTCATACAACAGAGCATTTTCTTCTCAAGATTGACGTAGACGAGACGCCCTCAGTGACGCAGGTTTGGGCTTTCTAAATCAATGTTCATGTTGTGTTTGAAGGCAGAACGTCAAGTTATATGAAGCAGATTAAAAGATCACACAGAGAAGATAGATACAACATAATATCTATGGTATTATTTCAAAGCCTTATGTATAATTATCACATTACTCATATAGCAAATATAAAAATACAGAAAAACAAAAAGGGGTATTTTCCAAATCTGAATTTTATTCCTACCCGTTTTTTAGAGTATCAAGCCTTATAGCTGTTATTTATGTTAAAAGGATATGCAAATATTATCAAAAAGGAGACTGGAACTAAGGGGTTTTTGTGAATACATTTCTGTTCTTATTTATAAACAAACATAATTACAGGACACTGATTACATTGCGAACCAGAAGGTGAGCAGGCCAATTTACTAAGATCCAAATTCCCAACAGAAATCCCATAATTCTGATCAAATAGTTGAACTGGAGGAAAATAATCCACTTTGGGTATTTACAAAAGGCACTTCAGATGCAAATTTGGATTTTGTCCTAGATTTAACAAATATCAATTGGGAAAAAGTGCAGAACAAAAAGAATATATATATAAAAAAAGAAATCAACCCACACATTTTCCATACCTAAAAATGAAATCTTAATCTATCTATCTGTCTATCGATCTGTCTGTCTATCTATCTATCGACCTGTCTGTCTATCTATCGATCTGTCTGTCTATCTATCTATCTGTCTATCGATCTGTCATAGAAACATAGAATGTGACGGCAGATAAGAACCATTCGGCCCATCTAGTCTGCCCAATTTTCTAAATACTTTCGTTATTCCCTGGCCTTATCTTATAGTTAGGATAGCCTAATGCCTATCCCTGTCTGTCTTTCTGTCTATCTATCGATCTGTCTGTCTATCTATCTATCGATCTGTCATAGAAACATAGAATGTGACGGCAGATAAGAACCATTCGGCCCATCTAGTCTGCCCAATTTTCTAAATACTTTCATTATTCCCTAGCCTTATCTTATAGTTAGGATAGCCTAATGCCTATCCCTGTCTGTCTGTCTGTCTATCGATCTGTCTGTCTATCTATCTATCGATCAATATGTCATAGAAACATAGAATGTGACGGCAGATAAGAACCATTCGGCCCATCTAGTCTGCCCAATTTTCTAAATACTTTCATTATTCCCTGGCCTTATCTTATAGTTAGGACAGCCTTATGCCTATCCCTGTCTGTCTGTCTATCTATCGATCTGTCTGTCTATCTATCTATATATATCTGTCACATGGGAGCAAAGAGAGTATTACATGAGGAAGAAGGAAACAATTGGAAAATTATTATTCAAAATATAGGAGCGATTGTCTGAGCGTGAGATATATATATATATCATTTTGAAAACTTTCAAGATTGTTCAGTAAACGGGGAATTGTCAAGAATTCACCAGGGAACAGCAAATTGTATAAAAATAGAAAGCAGAGGAATCTTCAGTAAACCAAGAGCTGTCAAAAATGGAGGGTTTTATGCAAAATAAGCCGTCTTCAAAACATAAAGATTCTGTGATTTTTGGTCTAAATTGTACAATTCTCTTGTGGATACCCAAATATTCCCACTCTAGTGAATTCCCCTGAGCTATGTTTCCAGTTCAGATATCTTAAATGCCCAGGTTAAATTCCTGATAATTCTAGAGTTAATTAACACCTGGATATTACACATCAGGCTGTTTTGAGTCAGGACGAATATAAATAATAATACTGAATGTAATGCAATGTTTAGGAACTGATATCTTTATCACTGAAATTCATGTGAATTGCTCTCTGAATTTTCCATTTCAGGAACAGATTAAAGGACATCTAAAGTCACCCAGACCGATTTCTCCTATCCTAATTCATCTGGATCAGAGTGCTGCATTCCTCATATAGGAGCTTTGGATTGGCCATCGGCTCAAGAGCCGAATGACGTTGTGAGGGAGAAGACATGAGTGGATGCACCGAGTGAGTCTCGCCACTAAAGAATAGGTAAATTATAGCTTTTTCGTGGAGGTGGGAGGACCTAATTAATCCGCAACTTACTTCCTGTGAGGAGAAATCCCATTTTCACACTTCCTTTATTGCACAGTGTGTTTAATTTAGAATGTCTTATCTTCCTGATGAAGTGGTCTGGATGCAGTGGTCCTGTCTTTTTAACTATTCAATATAAAAGATTGCAGTTTTGTAGAAACAGTAATGTTTACAGACTCAGCTCTTCAATCAGTTGCTACTCCTAGCAGCATTTTATTGGAAGAGCCGCCTTTGGCCGCTCATGTATATCTCGTCCTTAATGCTTCTCTGTGAGAAGTTTAGGATTGAACAAGGTCATGGAAGAGCCAACAGGCATGCTCACAAAGATGGGGGTGGAGTGGGCGGCTGTACGAAGTGTCTTGGTGCTAGAAATGAAGTAAGTAATCTTTATTAAACATTGGAGAGAGATTATAGGACTATAGGTTTCCTTTAATTGCCTGCTAGAGCCTGCAGGGGCTCCTTGTAGGTGATTAAAGTTCAATAAAGAGCAGGAGATAAGAAACTTGTAAAATAAACACACAGCAGTATAAAATGAAACTTTCTATTCATGTTGTCTGTGTCAGTCACAGCCAGGGGAGGTTTGGCTAGGGTTGTATAAACAGAAACAAAAGTGTTTAACCCCTAAATAACAGAGAATTGAGCAGTGGGACTTCAGGGGCACGACATATACACCAATACTGCTTTATTAAGCTGAAGTTGTTTTGGTACTTCCCTTTTAGGAATGATGGTTAATTTTCAGGTAGATGTAGATACATCCATTTTGTTTGGGAGGGGGAGCAGGGGTGGTGGGGGGGGGGGGGGGTTATTTTAGAGATACATAGAGACATGTGTGCATCTATTTACACCACTAGAGGCAGGTATTACAATATGTCATTTTAAAATATATTATATGAAGAAGGTGGATTGGATGCTAAATAGACGAAGCACTGCAGAAATGGTTCTTTAGTAAGGCAAAAACCTTCTGTTCTTGAAGAGATACACTTTAAATAAGTAATGTCACAGTTAAAAAACAAACAAACAAAAACCACACAAAGACATAATTATTTCAAAATCATCATAGGCTGATAGTTGTTTAGCACTTTGACATATGAGTATTAGATAGAGAGCCCCAAGAAAAAACTAACAAAGAGGTCAAATTGTCAATGCGTGAACTGCAGGTGCAAACAGCAAAATTCTTTAATACGTCAACTGGATTAATCTAAAAAATTCTGACGACATATCACACACACAAACTGCATCAGCAAAGAGAGGCATCGATCGCAAGTCACAGCTCAGTGCCAGGGAATGACAGACACGTAACTGGATGCGTCTTAAATGCCACTATATACAGCCTCGGGAATCAACACACAAGTGAATCAGTTCCTCTGTGACCTGATGTCAATAAAAACAGAAACTCTACGTCATAATCTTCGCAAAGCAAGCTGAGCCGGAACCTATGGCAGGAATGCCACTTTGTATTCAGTGGGGTAAGGAGCACAAAACCTGCACCTCTGAGTATTTAAATAATATAATATGGTCTGGAGAATAATCTTACCCTCATCTTACTCTGTATGGTTATATAATGACCAAGGATCAGGGAGCCATTTAAAAAAATAAAAATACTGAATCCTCCTGGTGTGTCCATAATCCCTCCGAAAACAAAACTAAGAGTGTTTTCATCAGCCACAACATGGAGGCAGGCGCCTTTTAGGGTCTCTGCAATCCCCAGATACAATATGTTTGTGTATTTACTAAACAGACAGTCCCATCCATCTCTTTCCTGGCATATCAATAATAAGAGAGTGGCTGGATTAATGGCAGGAGCTGCAACATCGGTTGCCTTGGAGAGTACAAGTAGATGTCTCCAGAACCCCTTCGGGGTGTTAATTTCCCATAATGCAATGTTCCACCATTATCCTCTGTATCTCACACTCTCAATCTCTCTGTTTCTCCCTATATATATATATATAGTGAGTTGTAAATGTTTTCATAACTTGGCTATTTTTATAAACCGGCTGTCAGCTAAAAACAACCCAGAGATTAAAGGAGAGATCCCTGAAGCTAACTGAGGACTCAATAAGCACTCAACCATCCACCAGGGCATAATGAGAGTATCACCCACATACAGTACAGCACAGGATCCGAGTAGTGTAAAGGCCAGATCCATGCTTAATGTTGGATGAGTCACAGGAAGAGGGGGTGGGATGTACAGCAAAGGTAACGTCAGAGACTGATTCATCGCACTGTTCAGCAATTCACATACAAGAAGGGCAACCAAAGTCCCCAGAGAGTGGGGGACGATCTTTGCTGCTCTGCCAAATGACTTTAGGTGAAAAAAGAATGAATGAAAGGTGGTCAGGGAGACAACAGAATAGCGTGTTTCTAATATGCCTGACATTTGAAGGGACAAAGGACAGAGCACCATTCACCAAGCCCAGCTGATACCACCTATTGCTGACAAGTGAAGATGGATGGGCTCACTTGCACTTTGTATGTGCATCTTCCACTCTGGGGCAGTGAAAGGGTTAAAGGGACACTATAGTCACCCAGACCACTTCAGCTCAATGAAGTGGTCTGGGTGCCAGGTCCCACAGGTTTTAACCCTTCAGATATAAACATAGCAGTTTCAGAGAAACTGCTATGTTTACATAGCAGGGTCAATCCACCCTTCAGTGGCTGTCTTCCTGACAGCCGCTAGAGGCGCTTCTGCGACGCTGGATGCGAAAACGTGCAGAACGTCCATAGCAAAGCATTGAGAAATGCTTTCCTATGGAATGTTTGAAAGCGCGCGTGGGAGCCAACGTTGGAGTGGGAGGAGACGTCACCAGCGTAGATGAAGCCCGACGCTGGATTAAAGTAAGTAACTGAAGGGGTTTTAACCCCTTCAGGACCAAGGGAGGGGGACCCTGAGGGTGGGGGGGACCTAAGGGTTATATAGTGTCTGGAAAACGAGTTTGCTTTCCTGACTCTATAGTGATCCTTTAATCCCGTATAACTCTATTTTTTTTTATCTCGTCTGGTAATGAATGGAAAATCTATTTATTCTCAAAGTATATACTCTACGATGCTCGTATGTATCTAATCAAAGACAATGAACGATGTATCTTTATAACATGGAGGGACCCACATCCTTAATAATAGTGTATCCATATATATGTATATTGCATGTAGAACAGATACATCCAGACTTCCAGGAAAAACCTGAGCTCTGATGGAAACCATTGGGGTTTAATTAATTGTTTTTTTTAACTAAATGTATTTTGTCCTATATTTTGTCACTTGTGAAAACACGCCTATAGCGGAAGTCTGTCTGTATGAATTTTTACAGTGCCTTCAATACCATTCCATTGATATTATGGTGCAAATTGTCAAGAAACCATTGTTTCTAAAAATAAACCTAACCTGGACAGTGCTCAGTGTGATAGCTAATATTGGGGCTAACTACATGAAAAATCATCAGAGTATGCCTCCAGACAGATCATCTTAATTTGTGTTATTGAAAAAACTTAGAATAGCTGGGCATGTAGGCCTTCACGCATAGCACGTCTAGTCAGATTTACCAGATAAAGGTTTATCCTCTTCAATAATAATAATACAAGCTAATAAAGGGGAAACCAAGCGGGGTCTACTCACTAAATAGTGTGTTCTGCCCTACTTTGAGTACAAATCAAGACTGGTGGCAGCCTTAATATCGGCCTACATTTAAAGTTACCCAGCTGCCAAGGCTGAATTTGCCATACTTGAAGTGTGAAAGCCAGAGAGTTTGGCCTAGGTTGGGGAATTGGTTCAGAAAGGACTGCCAAATACTCTGGTACTATTTGCAGCAGAATGGGAAACTGACATAGGTTCTTGGTCCATCCAGTTGAGTGGTAACTCTCATACATGTGGAATGTGAAATGTGGAAATAAGGAGGTAAATATTGAGGGAATGAACATGTCAACATTTTGATTGAGTTGAGTTTTTTTTGGCATAAATCTCAACAGACTTGGTTTTTCTAAATTACTATGTTAGAGTTTCTACACTAAAGAAAAAAATGATTATAAATGAACAACCAACTTATAAAATTCACTCCCACTAAACGTGTGGAAAATGGAGATTGAAGACTTATAGATAGAAAAGCCATCCTGTAAATGTCATATGTGTTGTAGGCCTCACAGGGTGAAATTGAAAGGAGTTGCAGAAAAATATATAATAGAATGAGACATAATGCTAAAAACCGTATAATGCAGGTGATAAATTAGAATTCCAGCTACTACCACAGATGATCAGCGCATTCTAGTCTGGGCCTGGTTTTAATTTGGAGGGACATGACTAGCTTGGAATTTAATATGAGGAGCTGATATAAAACAGAAAGTGATTTTTATTTTTTATCCCATTATCATTTTCCTTTTAAACATATTCTGCAGAGCTGCACAGTGGGTATAAATATATCACATCAATCAGATTTGGTTAAACTAACAGGTGTCAGTGATCCCAGTGAAATCATTGAATGCAGAGAGATCTCCTATCCAGTGTCCGTTTAAGGTATTAGAAGGAGCAAAGAATATATATGTATTTTAACACTCCGACATGTTACTCGAGTGCTGCTGCTGAAATGACCACAAATTATACAATAGGGGATCAATAAACGTTACTTAAAAATTTTTAAGTTTTTTGATGAAAAATAAATACAACTATCTAATATGAAAATATAATCAAAATATTATTATTAATATTTGTGACGAGACCAATCTCGCCACATTGCATTGGAGAAGCATGGTTGCTCGCCTGCTGCCTTTGGACTATGGCCCCCTGTTAAAAGACATCTTTTTTACCTGCAGAAAAGCTTCATTCGTGCTTTTCTGCCTGGGGTTCGGTAGATTTGTTTGAATGTGTTATACCCCAGATAGGAATCCCATGGAGCCCATTCGTATGAAACTGACTGTAAAGACTTTGGCTCCATGGCGATTAAACTGTATTCGTGTGGTCTGAGCGCCATTCGCTTAATAATGTGCGCTCAGACCTGAGCTATCTGGGGATATGTTAAATGTCTGTGTGTTATGTGTAAAAGGTGACTTTATGTATTTTAAAGTGTTTTACTGTCTTTGTGTCACCATGTGCATAATGGAGTCTTGTCCCTGTCCTGGGAGATAATTGAATTACTTCTCACTTATCTCCAGGGCAGAGGAGAGGAAGCCAGGATGCATTGTGGTAAAAGGTATGTGTATTGGGTTACCTCTCAGGATAAGGGGGAGGGAATCTGTGGGTTGTAACTAATATGTTACTGGATATTTTATACCTCCCTGTGGGCGGTCCTGTATTTGCAAGACTGTAATAAAAACCAGGCTGGGTGTGCCAGCACCTCAGACCACTGCTTGACCCTCAACACGGAGCCTTGTCTCATTCTTGGGGGGATTCACTGTATGCTGTTAGAGACTGATTGCCAGGAGTGTAAGCTGATTGTCTGCTTTTCCTGTTCGTCTGCTAGCAGCTATTTGGGAGGTTCCAGTTCGGGAGTTGGAGTGCTATTTTGTATCCAGTTCGGGAGTTTGGTGTTCTGCAGTAGCTGTGCCTGCATCTCTGGAAAGGGGGCCGATCGCCTAAATGGTTTTTACCCCTTGTGTGCAAAACGGTCCGTTACAATATTAATAAAAATGCCTACTGTGGCGGACTGCCTGGCACCCCGACTGGGTACCACTGCCAATTACGCTTCCTAGTATCGCTGAGTACTATAAGCACTGCACCAGACACCATGACCACTGTAGCACCCTTTCCCTGCCACAGCTTGGCTAGGATCTTGTCGTTCCTTCCCACCCTGGACCAACCCCTAGATCCAGCTCCCAAGGAGGAAGACCTCTACTCCAAGAGAGTATAGCAGGTATAGTAATCCAAAGAGCAGTATAGCAGTCCCCCCCCCCACACACACACACATGAGCCAAGGCTTATTGCTGTGAAGTAGTCGGTTTAATAGTCCATCCATGTGCCTGAGAGATAATTGAGTCAGGAACTGTACAAACTCAATTATCTCAAGGTACAGAAAAACATACAATGTACAAACACCCCAAAAGTACCCCTAAAACACATATAAAACCCACAAAAGTCACATTACCCGATAGCCCCGATCTGGGTGACCAACATATCCAAAAATCCCCCAGATCGGTTCAGGGGTTTGGGTTTTTCATGGAAGTCATAATTTGACTGACCGCAAACATGTTCCTATGCCAAAAACAATTACAGGGAAAAAAATGATAGTGGACGGTGAAGTTCAGTAGTTTAAAAACGAACAAACTACCGGATGTAGTCAATAGTCATACTGTGGACCTTGATGGACAATGATAGACGTCCAGGGGTGTTCGGGAGTTTCAGTGTCCGATTTCAGTTCCATGAACTTGACAACCAAACATCACTGCGTGCGTTCGTGGGAATAAGATGGCCGCCACCTCGTGGTCGTTCATACGAACTGTGGCCACCCAGACGAACAATTAGAACACTGCGGTTAGAATCGTTAAGAGGTGATGATAGGGCTTAACAAGCGCCCGGGTGGTCCATAGTTCGTGTATCTGTTTGGTGCACGAACAGCAAGAGAAAATGGCACAAACTAACTATTTTACTATGGCTTTTACAGAGCCCATAGACCTGGGGCAAGAGGTTGGCAAGCAGGCTCCTCCAGGAGCCCGTGGCGAGGTTACTTTCACCACACCTACCAACCTGGGATCACAGATGTTCCTCTGCATCATTTATACTTTTTGATAAATCATTCAGTGCCCTATTAAAACATACACGGCACAGGTGCTAATAGTCCAAAGTCCAGTTGTCCTATATATTAACTGGGCACAGCGCACTTCACCTGTACTCCAGGAATGGCCTTCTTGAGGGGACAGCCTGTCAATTAGCCAAGCCACCATCTTTGCGGTGGCCAGTGTCCTGTGCTTTGGGGTGGCAGCCTGCTCTCTTCCCTGCCAACCTCTGTTCTGGAAGGTGGGCAGAGAATATTGGCAGATATATGTTCAGATTAGTGCTTGATTATATATACTGGATGTTTATCAAAGTGTCAGGGTTTGGATTTATTCGCTGCCTCTTTAAATAACAGTTCAGGATGGAATTCAATGCAGACTTCACTCCTGTCTATGTATTACAAAGTGGATTCATTTTATGAAGGCAAATATCAGACTAGGACCTGCCAAAAGTAGAGAACACTAATGGAGCTGACAAACAAGGCATATTAATAGAAATATTCGTAAATAATGTAGAAATTTTTATAAATGTTTATTTTAACGCATATAATTATACGCATTAAAATATATGCATTTTTGGTTACAGTTTCCCAGTAACGAACAAGTTCACCTGTCAGTAGTGATTTCAGATAGTGCAAAAGTAACTATTGGATCTGTTCAGTCTGAATTGAAATGATTAATTTATTAGACTGAGAGCCTTACTCATCTGCCATTGGAAATAAGTAAAACAGAAATTACATGACATGAATAAAAATGTGCAAAGAACTGTTGTATTTGTATTTTGATTTTTGTTTTAATCCCACTCTCCTTTTTACAGAAATTTCCCCCAAAAAACACAGTAAAATGATAATATAATAACTGGCCAGACTGTGTAGGTTTGTTACCCCTTTAGCCATTACCATTATAGTCTTAATAAAATCATTGCTGTCTTCTGTGCAGAAATGAAGAGGTTTATTATGATCTATCCTGTGTGTATTTTCAGAAAACGAAGCGGCTCATTTGCTGTGTAATTTTAGCAGTTATTCTCTCAGTTTTTGTGCTGGTCTTATTGGAACAGTTTAAATATGTAGGATGCTGCCATGAAGTAATGAATTTTGGCCTGGGTAGAATTAACCGTTCAGATTGCAGTTGAAATATGCACTCATTGCTGAAGATGGTTTTTCAGCATACAGTATTATAAAGACTGCCATACAACACAGCTGTTCTAACTACAGCATTACAGTCACAGGTTTGAATCCTGGTGTGGTGGATGATCTCTGCACTGTTAAGTTTGGTCATAATAGCATTTGGACCCCGAGATGTACATAAGCAGTAATGACATGACCTATCTACTAAGCTACAACCTTATCTACACACTGTGCTGGTCAAACATCTTATATAGCGTATATAGTGATATCAATATATTTCCTGACAAACTTCCTGTTTATGGATATTTACAAGCAACCTGATATCTTGGGAATGTAGTTTAGCTACGTCACAGCAAAATGTAATCATTTGTGTGTGTGTGGACATTATGTTCACATATAGTAAATACAGTTGTCTGGCTAGTAACTGCACATAATGTCTCCTGTGTGCCAAAACCCCTCATCCTGTTCTGCAGCCCTCTGCTTTTCAACAATAAAGACTTTTGATAGTCCCTCTGTCTGAGGCAGAACCACTGATTAAAGCACTAACTAACCAAATTATTTTTTCTGCTACGTGGAGACGAGTGCTGATGCAGAGGGGATGATAAGTGGATGTTTATCAAAAAGACTGTGTTTTGCAATATGAAATCTAATTTATATATATATATATATGTATACACATTGGTGAAAAGGGTGTTAGTGGTCTTTTATAAGCACCCCCCCCCCCCCAACATTGTCCCTCTTGTGTTTATTTCACTTACTCAACATAAGCTTGTTGGAGCAGGGATCCCTAAAACAACTAAATAAATGCAAATAATATTAATTTTAACATGATGTCCACAAGGTGATATTCTTTAGCCAGTAATGTGACACGTGAAAAAATCTCTTAAACAGATTATTATCCTGTCTAAGTTCTGAAACGTTATCTGTCATAATTTCAAATATACCAGAACAAAGCATTTCCTAATGGAACAGGATGTATCAACTTCACATCTCTAACAACACAAGAAATAAAAAACAAAATATCTATCTTCACAATGTAACAACAGTGAGGCTCTTCTACAAACGCACAGTGTTTTGTTTCACTAAAGTGTCAATAGTCAGAAATTCAAAGTTCACATTTCACATTTTTGGCAAGACTAGCCTTGCAACGTTTCCATGTTGGCCCAAAATTTTTAATTATTTTGGAATTTAATCTGAATACCTAACATTTAGTTAATATAGGCCTCGATTTGATATTCTTTATAGGCTTTTCAAAGATTTAATATTTTTGGATAAACTTTGTAAATAATTTTTTACTAAACATGAAAAAAATCTAAATATATATCAATATATAAAAACAAAATATCAGACTATAAATATATTAAAAATGTTTTTTCAAATATTAAATAATTTCAATAGTTTATCCAAAATTGTAAACACAGACAGTTTTGTGAATGGGGTTGATAAGAAGACATCATCTTAAAATACATTTAAATCTCTTTGATTCTAGAAACACAGTTCAGTAATGATATGTACACATTCAGAGTTGATGCCCCTTTAGACATACACAAAATATTAGAAAAAGACATTTCATTTTTTTCTGGAACTAATCGCTTCTAGCAATACAACACCACTATAACAAACGCACATACGGTTTACGTTCCTATAGAAACACAAATAAAGGCACACTAGTCTATTGATACCCATAAGGAATATTGAGTTTGCATTATCTAGAATCTAAAGCACTTCCGAAAATATTTAAGCCAATGTATAACACATAATATTCTGGAAAAACAAACATCAGAAATGACAAATTTGATTTTTTTCCCAGATTTATTTCCTATTAATGTGCCATTTTATTATTATCGAGCCATACAGTATTTTAACGCACAGTGTAATTCCAATAACTGCTCATTAACCTTAAACAGGGAAATGCTCTCATTAGGAAAAAGATAAGCTGTATACAATGATTCTGAAGCTTTGATACTCTCAGACTGTGTATCCTCACAACTTGTTAGTAAATCACAATACATTCTGTTCTAGCAATCAGCTTTCAGATATGGTCAGAAAGTGCTATAAGGGTTTATAAATACGGGTACTTTCCATACTGAACTATCCCATATCTTTATATGCACATCTGTGCATGATGATTCTCTTTAATCCTTTGAGACATAATACCTAATGGCAAGAAAATACACCAGGTGGGCCAGGACACGTATTATTTTGCCCAGAACCATATATTAATAAAGTGTACTGGCAGCATAAACGAGCAGATAGTGAAATCTTAATATAAATGTTCAAATACAGCAGATCCCTGTCTGTTGTGATAAATCTATGATTGCATTTTATCAATAGTAGCCCGACACACAGGGGATTAACACAGAGGTAAGATGCTTATACTTTGAGCACTCAGAAGGTTAATGCAAACATTGTTGGAAACATTAAAAAATATATATATTTTGCAAACAAACAAGCAAACTAACTGTTAAATAAAAAATTACATAAAAGGTTTCACAGCTGGGAAGCTTTTTAATTTGTAAGAGATAGGCCACGAGATAGACTAACTTTGATCTTCCAATATCTAAAATTGCAATATTAGTGTTTATCAAGTGCTGTACAATAGATAAATGTAGGACATTATCATTATACAAATAAATATTTAATCGTGTCATGAAACAAATCAGTCATAATTTTAATTCAGCACAAAAAAACAAACAAAAATAATAAATATTATTCTTGTTTCCAGCACTAACATATATAGTTCTCAGAAAGACATCTTCAATCTGCTGTAACCAGACTATTACCATAACCTTTACCTATATTGTCAGCATCTCACTATCTCCAAATGCACTGCGCTCTTACTGTGGCACCACCATCTTTTAATCAGATTTACTGTGAACGTCACACTCTGTGATCTTTGACCTGTGTGATACCTTCCCAAATCACAATTAGTATACAAGAGGGTGTTCTGGAATATGGAAAGCAAAATCCTTCTACGTCACAGCAAACATTCAAACTAAGCTACTGAATCCACAAAACAAAGGTGATGTTTTTGAGGTCGTTAAAATAAAAAAGCCAAGGTTTTCACCCAGAGATTACTATATAAAAATACACATTGGTTTGAGAATTGCTAGACTAGGGATGGTAGAAGATACTTCCAAAACGTAGATCCCCAGCTGATGTAGAGTTACAAGCCCATGATACTTTATCACTTCTAGCTGTAAATGCCCCCTGTATTGGAGCTGTTTTAGTTATCTGACCAGCAACAGTTAGTCACTCACTGAGTGTCCTGTTTTTATGCCCTACTGCCCAAACCTTAGGAGATCCGGCAAGTAGGGCAATGGTAATCTCTTTAAGCAGGTTTCTTAATTTCGTTTTTTCCCCTAAGAGGTTCTTTAGCTAATTTTTAAAAGGTCTTACAGCTATTTCATGGGAAGTCCTATAGCTATATTCTGAGCGATCTTATAGTTATCTCTTGATGGGTCATATGTTTATCTCCAGAGAGAGTCTATATTTATCTCATATTTCCTCAGTGGTCCTACAGCTATCTCTTGAGAGGTCCAACAGCTATCTCCTGAGAGGTCCAACAGCTATCTCCTGAAAGGTCCTACAGCTATCTCCTGAGAGGCCCTACAGCTATCTCTTGAGATTTCCTACAGCTATCTCCTGAGAGGACCTACAGTTGTCTTCTTAGAAGTCCTACAGTTGTCTTCTTAGAGGTTCTATTTTATTTATATATTTTATCTCCTGAGAGGTCCTACGGCTATTACCGGAGAGATCCTACAGCTATCTCTTGAGATGTCCTACAGCTGACTCCTGAGAGGACCTACAGCTATCTCTTGAGAGGTCCTATAGCAATCTCCTGAGAGGTCCTACAGCTATCTCCTGAGAGGCCCTACAGCTATCTCCTGAGAGGTCCTACAGCTATCTCCTGAGAGGTCCTACAGTTGACTTCTTAGAAGTCCTACAGGTGTCTTCTTAGATGTTCTATTTTTTTTTTTTTTATCTCCTGAGAGGTCCTAGGCTATCTCTTGAGATGTCCTACAGCTGTCTCCTGAGAGGACCTACAGCTATCCCCTGAGAGGTCCTACAGCGATCTCCTGAGAGGTCCTACAGCTTTCTCCTGAGAGGTCCTACAGCTATCTGCTGAGAGGCCCTGCAGCGATCTCCTGAGATGTCCTACAGCTATCTCCTAAGAGGTCATACAGCGATCTCCTGAGAGGACCTACAGCTATCTCCTGAAAGGACCAACAGCTATCTCCTAGAGGTCCTACAGCTATCTCCTGAGAGGTCCTACAGCTTAATCCTAAGAGGACCTACAGCTATCTGATAGTCATCTTTATCTCCTAAGAGGTCAGAAGTCAGTTAATGCTGTTAATACAGTAGTAAGATATTCAGTCTAAATATCCCCCCCCCCCTCTGTCCCTCTAAAAATAAAGATAAACAAAGCCCCCCAGTCTGATCTCTATAAATAAAGATAAATAAACCCCCCAGTCTGATCTCTATAAATAAAGATATATAAACCCCCCAGTCTGATCTCTATAAATAAATATAAATAAAGCCCCCCAGTCTGATCTCTATAAAGCCCCCCAGTCTGATCTCTATAAATAAAGCTCCCCCATCTGATCTCTATAAAGCCCCCAGTCTGATCTCTATAAATAAAGCCCACAGTCTGATCTCTACAATAAAGCCCCCAGTCTGATCTCTATAAATGTGCTTCTCCCCCAGTGTGATCTCATAAAGCCCCCAGTCTGATCTCTATAAATAAAGCCCCCAATTCGATTCCTATAAATAAAGCTCCCCCTCAGTCTGATCTCTATAAAGCCCCCAGTCTGATCTCTATAAATGTGCTTTTCCCCAGTCTGATCTCTATAAAAGTCTCCTGTCTACCTCTATAAATAAAGCTCCCCAGTCTGATCTCTATAAAGCTCCCCAGTTCGATCTCTATAAATAAAGCCCTCATTCGATCTCTATAAAGCCCCCAGTGTGATCTCCTATAAAGCCCCCAGTCTGATCTCTATAAATAAAGCCCCCCCCCTTTGGAGCTCTATGTGAAGCTCTGACCACTCACCGTGAGTGCGGGCCCCCAGGCTGTCCAGGGGGCCACAGGAGAGCAGCATGAGGCAGAGGAGAAGCCCAGCACAGAGCTTCATCCTGGCAGGAGGGGGGCAGGCCTCACATGGGGAGCATCACCCGGGGCTCAGGGGGCTCCTCGGCCGGTCAGCAGGCAGCCAGGGTCGGATCAGCACCGCGGACAGCGGCTCCAGCCAGCAGCACACAGCCAGCACACAGCGACCAACAGCGACCAACAGCGACTGCGCCGTCTAGCCACGCCCCCTCCCAGCACACATCCCACGAGTCCACGCCCACAATCTATAGAATCCATGAATGGGCCTCGCACACGGACACGCCCCCTTTCCCCACTGCCAGCGTGTTAACTCTTAGCTTCCCGAGACAGAGCACAGTGTGCTGAGCAGACCAGCACTGACACAGTTACACAACAGCACACACGGAGACACACACACATATATATAATATATATATAGGTTTTATAGTAAATCCATTCTTAACATTTAATAGCTATTCTAGGAATAAGATCCCGCAGAGCCCCAGGTAAGTTACTGCCCCCCACCCCCATTCATTCTACACACAGAGCCC